CTGGATCGCTGTTATTTTTGAAACAGTTTTACATTCTGCGGTGTTGCTAGTAATACTTTGCATAGTTTGGTAGCCCCGAGTGTAAAGTGATACACTTATGTCTGATCTTCTTCTGGCCAGGCCTTTGATGACTTGATTCCGAGCATGAGGAAACTGTTCCCAAATTTAGCTGTGTTTTTCCTCAGGTGGAGAAGAAAGTAGTCAATAAAAAGATCAGACGCTAGAGCAAACGGGTTCGAGTCCCTACTTTAACGTCGCTTTTACAGCAAAGTGCTTAACAGCTCGTCAGAGCAAAACTCCGAGCTTGAGAGTTGGAATTCGGAATTACGAAAGCGGAACTCAGAGTTTCAATAAGCGTAACTCAGAGTTTCAAAAGCGGAACTCAGAGTTATCTCTGAGTTAACGCGGAGCTTCAAACTCGGAGTTTCGACCAGATTACTACCGACCCAGATAAAGTAATGTTTGGCCTGCGTTTTCCAATCTATGGGAATTTCCTCGTTTCTATGTAAAGGACGTCGATAAAATCTACTGCACTAAGAGATAAGCAGGGAGCAGTGAAACTGCGCATAGCTTTACATTGTATCTACTATATAATGCATCATTATCCATATACAATGAATATGCTCACACGAGCTAATCAAGCTGAGATGGTTAGCAGTAGTTTTGCTCTTTTTATTCGCTTGTGAATTTTCTTGAGCGAATTGGGCAGCATAATCGAGATGCGAAGCTTTAGGTTTTAGATTCGTTAGTATGCTCTATACACTTTTTTAGATTCTATTTTGTATCTATTCATTCAAAGGTAAGTCTAGAACAATCTTTATTACAGCAGCTGCCTCATAATCTTTTCTGCGCCACAACAAAAAACTTTATTTGTGGTCATAGAATCATGCGAAAACAATTTTTGGGACGATCCGCCGATTTATAATTCTTCATTCTTTGAAAGGTTTCTATTATAAAATAGATGCCGTCATGATGTTCAGCGAAAATTGAGTACCAAAAATTTGATGGGTATCTCGCGAATTTTTTTTTGAGAGCTCTTGGCAAGTAGTGTATGAGAGAAATGCAATATCGCTCGTAATTCCGCAAAAAGCCACCGAATTCTACGTATACCGAAATCCGTATCGCTTCGCAATATTTTGGTTCAAAATGAACAAAATCTTCTACTCAGCTCGGCAAGGGGCATCTTCTAAAATATGAAACTTTCCGTTTGAAGAAGGTGAAAGGTCAGATCTCACAGATACTTTGAATTTCTGCCTGTGGTGAGTTACTCAGCGTAAGTTATTAAGCAGATTAAGTAACCTGAAGTAAACATAAATCTAAAAAGATTTGTGAAATTTGACTGCCTCCCGCACACCTACCGTAAACAAATGGCACCCCTACATATGCCAGAAACTGCGCCTAGCAGAACTAGGTCAAATGGTGCGTTTGGATTTGAGTTCATCCGTTCTGAATTGAGAGATGGCGACAGGACTTCGGATTTCGGTGAACTCAGGTGGAGTTCAGTGACTTTTCCAAAGAACTAGGATCGGTACTGTATCTCTAACAGCTTGGTGAGATATACAATGTATGTTTCTGGAATTCTCGATTCGATCAAAATCCATTTTGCATGATCAATTAGTCACAAGATTAGAAGGGAAGATGCGCCAGATTTGGTAAAATTACTTGATATTAAATCAAGGAAAACAAATGCGCTACACTGTTAAATAATACCAGCTGTAAAGGCAGGACCCTTCCGGTTTTCTCACTTTCAAAGAGGATATGAATTTTTAATCTCGCGGAAGTATTCTTGCTCTCACCTCCTGTATGTTGCTTGAGCAAACTCTAGATAAGGGGGCCAATATTCGATTCTTGCTCTTCGCTATCATTACCTCCATTCGTGCTGATTAGTAGTCTTACGCACTTCTCCACTATAAAAGAAATTTTAATCACTATCACATTCTGCTGATTGAAGAGTTAGCCACTGCGCCTGTGTGATCCTGACAAAATGATTTATTATTTACTAGTAGGAGTAGTATCGAAGACTATTGAAAGTGACAGGGGTGTTTTGTGCGCGCATCATTGTCACTGGCCTACTAATCCAAATAAGTTCCCACAAGTTTTTTTTTTCACATGCTCAAATCACACAAAGAATGACCTCTCAATTCCAAGCGAGCTATTTTTGTGGTTCTGGGTTTGCATCAGATGAGATTTGAGTCAACATTCAAACATGCTACGAGGTTCTGAAACCCTGCTTCTGTTAATAATATCGTGCCTTTTTGATGGCAAAGATCATGTTGTAAACATTTTGAAGTCTCACTGTCTGAACTCACGAAAGCGTACAACAATTTTGTAAAAAAAAAGAGCTGAATGTAACAACAAACCGCTCCCATGTTTGTAAAGCGTCGTTGCTCAATACTCAAGCCTATAACTTGCCACTTTTTGGCCAAATCTACGCGCCTTCAAAACTAGAATATTCTGTTGGTAACTGAGGTTTTCAACAACATTTTCGTGCCTGAAGAGCCAGGCAAAAGAAGGATTGTTTTGTGTATCACTCAGTTAATTTATATACGATTTTGCAAATCAACTGAAGTATTCAAAGACGAGCAAAATTTAGAACTGATGAGCTAATGAAAATTCGAAACAGAGAAATTTGTTCGTCTACGGATCCTGTTTTGTGAACTTTGGCACTTCCTTTAGAAAATCAAAAAAATACGGCAAAAAACACCGCTCCCCTCACCTTTCAAATCATCTATTTGGGCTTGAACCGAAAAGCTAGAGGGCTAGATTGGAACAATGTATCATGACAGCTCTTATCTTCAACAGCTTACGCTTAATCGTGCTTCTTCCTAGCCTTTGTCTTGCGTGGTGGCATCTTTTTGCCCGCACTTCTGGTTTTCCACAATTTTCAATTTTAGGATAGTTCTTGCCAATTATATCTAGTTCTCAAAAGTTTCACCACAAGCACGTGATTAGCCATTCTCATGCTAATGCGATTTCAGCGAAATAATTGATCGTTGTTCTCTTTTGTACATTTGATGATACCGTTTTGGTCGCTGTATGGATGAGTGACTTTACCGCATTACCGCGCTGTATCTTCCTAGTTTTATTGGGTCTCTTCCTCATGTCAGCATATCTCGGTTTGAATCTCTATATCTGAGTGTGCAGAGTTATTACCGATTTGTCTTTCAGCCTATACGTAGTATCAATAAATATGATGCAAGAATTTTTACAAATTATCTCGTTTCTCACGCTCTCTATTTATAGTATACTATTTATACTTTTCTGTCTATAATACATGTGGCGATACCACAATTCTGTAACACTAAAAAACACCGCTTCTTCTTCCACCGATGCCTTTCCATGGAGCAGTTTGCAGCCGTAAAAAGTCAGTCGTAAAAAAATGGATGAATAGTCTGTAGCAAAAGTCAAATCCTCTTAAGCAGCTGCTTTCCTAAATAGCTTCAAACTTGAAATCCGTGAAAAAGTACTGTCTCAACTGTTATCTACCTTCTCGCTAAGCGAAGGAAAATGCAGGCTTGATTGTCATCCAGTGTTTGCTTCTCACTCTGGCAACTTGGAAAGATTAGCTGCTTTGCGTAAAATACCCTATTTGAACTAACTGAAGGAAATTCAAGGTTAGCAGAAGTGAAAAAGGATGGGAGTAAAGGCAAGCATGAAGCAACATCATGCAAACTTGCTTCCATTTCCTGAAACTTAGTTGCCTTTAGAGAGGTTGAAATATATACAACGTAAAAAAAAAACTTATGATGTCCAAAATTGAGGAAAAAGTTCAGGGCAGTCGCGCCACTAGCAAATGAGATTTAGCCTGGTTTTCTTCTTCCCAAAACATACATTGTGTCCCAAAAAGATGTGCCTACTGTTTGATTGTACATAACCCTCTTGTAGTGAAGTCTTTCGAGAAGCTTTAGGTGCTCCTTTGTAGAGTTGGCTTGGACTTACAATTAGATTTACAGTATAGTGAGAACCAAAAATCCCTCTTGTACTGTAGGATTACAGGAAAAATTTGAGGAGGATTTTGAGTAAATAGGGGTCATATTTCACCCATAAAACAGAGCCAAAGAAGGTGAAAGCTCCTACACTATGCAGGTTAATCAGAGTCGCTGATTCCAAACATGAAAATCGCATTTCATCGTAATGCATTTTTCATAAGTTATGCCACATATACCACAACAACCAGCCATTCAAAAATTTGATTAGGCCATTTAAAAAGCTCTAAGAAAGCGCAAAAATTTGTGTATTGGAATCAGTATGCATAAAAACCTTGTTGCACAGTTTTTCAGATTTTTTTTGGAAATTTTTTCCAGACGGGCTGTTTCACAGTGACGCCGTATGCTGCAAGTTCCTACTGTACTCATACATTGGTAGAGCAGAAGATAGATTAATTCGCTGCTTACTGTGAATGTAAGATGAAGCCAGCTCTACAAAAGGTATTTGGAGCTTCTCGAAAGATCTTATAACAAGAGAGTCACTTACAACCAAAGGTAGGCACATCTTTCTTAAATACCCTGTATTGCAATGCTGCACTTCTGCGTGGAACTCGTAGTAGTCAATTCTAGTAAGCTTGTGATAGTTATAAACTGTTTCCAAATGATCTTATTAAATGAGCGTCTGAAAAAAGAGTGATGTTATGGACAGCCTCAAAATAAATTTTTCCGGAGAATGGTGAGACAAGGGGAAATTTCGCTTTGTCAGCCTACGAAATGATGTGAAGAATTACTAATATAGCTCAAATAGAAGAAAAAATCAGGAAACATCTCAAGCCATGAATCTTACTTTAAGCACTTCTCAGAAAAGCTGAAAAATGATTTACTCGCAGCATATGCGACATTAATTTTCCACTTCTTTCATCTAGTTATTTGCTGTTGTAGCTCCTTAGTTATGGTGAAAACGCAGCTCAATCACTTTTTTGTTTGTTCAGTCTTATGGTTTCTCTTAGTAAGCATCGATTAATATCCCTTCATACAAGTGCACTCTGCTAGAAGATAAAAAAACGACTTCCAGGTAAAATGATCGCGTCGGATTATCCATCAGCACCTCTGGCGAGTGAGCCTTATCACGAGACGCTGCTGCGTGCGCTCAAAAAACATTACGAGACCGGAAAGAATAAATTTGCATTTGTGAGTTGGTCCCTTTAGTCTCCAAGGTTTTGGAGCAAATCAGCAGATACTCGTTTGTAGGTAGATGGAGAGAGACCGGAGCGTGGTGTGACATTCAGATTGGTGCACGATCAAGCTTATTCCATCTCCGCATTTCTTCATGAGAAAGGCTTTGGTGTGAGTGAAAATAAAATATTCTTTTTTTGCTATATCCATTTTTTCTGAAAAAATTTCTATTTTCTCGTCTCCAGAAGGACGTTGCATGTGTGGTAATCCCGAATCTCTGGCAATATGCGCCATTCTTCTTAGGAGTAGCTCTCAGAGGTGGAGCTGTTTCTGGAGCATCTGCTATGTTCACGGATTGTGAGTCGTTTGCACTAAATTATTTCAATAGTCCCTTAGATTAAGTCATGCTCAGTCACGACTTTCTCAGTGTACAAAAAACTACCCAAGTTTTCACCAAGCTTTGTAAAGGTTATGGTTAAAAGTGCCGGCGATGGAGTCAAACCTACAACTTTTCTTACACATGCGTCACCTAGGTTTTTTAATAATAGTAGAAAAAACGATTTGGCGGTTATCGAGTCATGGAAACAAAGAGTATCAAATATCCAGCAGCAAATAGTCCATGATTTCGGTTGAGGGCGTCTATCTAATTCAAAGAGGTCCTTAAAACATATTGAGTTATTGAGAAATTATTAACCAGAGTGGGGGAGCAGGGGGTGGAGGAGGCTACTGTACTTGACTGGAGATCCTTCAAAAGGCCTTTACGACTTTCGCGCTTACAACTCGATTTCGTAGTATTTGTGCAAAATAGTAAAGTAAAAATGGTCACCTTTGGAGAATGGCTTGAGCTCATGTGCTTATAAAAACCTTCTATCAAAAGACAAAAATTGACCGGCCCTTGTCGGTACTGCTATCTCAATTTTTTATCGGAATTCACTCCATTTCGATAACTACCTCATAGTCAGATGATTGATTCCCCTTCAACATATGATGGCACTTAATCTTCTTCAAGCTCAGGTGGGCGTCAAAGCATGTGATACGGGACGGCATATGCCAATAAACATTATGCAAAAAGCTCTAATGAATTAGTTATCCGTTTGCAACGTAACGGAGTATGCCCATCTATTTAATTCACAAATAATCGCAAACATTATACAACTATAAAGCTAACAGTTGGTTTTTTAGTCGAACTGCAAAGGCAGTTTGTTGATTCTGGAGCAAAGGTGGTGCTTACCTCTGAGGATTATCTTGAAAAGGTCTTGAAAGCAGTGAAGCAGAGCCCGAATGTCAAGGTAAGGAGTCCTCATCTCACGATCTTACATAAAGCGATGAAGTTTATTGGTGTCAGACACAACGCAGGCTGCTTGGTTCAAAACATTTACGACAATACGACCCACCAGTGGGTCGTACGTGTTCTGTCATTTCGATATGACCCACCGGTGAGTCGTAAGTTTGGCAAAGCGAAAAAGGCTCCTGTCCGAAATGACTAATCGAATAATCGGCGTTGTCGTGAATGTGTTAAGCTCGATATATCTAGAAAATATAATCAAGAACTTAACACAGTAAAGCTACAGTGGTTGATTATGTCTCTGTAATTATTACAATTTGGAAAATTCTAACTCATCAGATATCTTGCAGGAAGCATCAAGACAAATTTTACTTTTATAAAGCCAAAGGGTGCATTTTGACACATTTGTCGCGGATTGGGCCCCCAGCTCCCCACGTCAGTGGATACGGCTCACCTGCATCGGCATATGGGAGCCGGGGACCCTCTCCGTGAAAGGGTTCACGTCACTTGGGGCGGTAGCTAGCCTGCACTAAATGCTATTGTGCCTGCCACACGGCATAACGCCTGACTCTTAGGGGCCCTGAGCTACCAGCTCACCTAGTAATAAATGCAGCTTGGGGCGTTGACTCCGTTCCCACTACTGACACTTGGGGCATGCCATCACCACTTGGCACTAGCCGGCATCGTGCCAGTCTTCTCACGGATCTAACCATCTGGACTGTAGATGATGACGACAAAAACATACAACACGATATTACTCGGGGCTGCAGCCGAGCTGCAGTCCACCGCATCGATCAATAACCACAAGTTATCAACTACCCACCATTTATCCTTAACACAGACCCTACACTCAAACACAAGGGATGAAAACAACCAGCCAGCTGTTAGAAACCTAGGGGCCAGCAATATCGGAAACCCCCCGTGGCGGTGTCGCCGGCGTGTGCCAGGCGCGAGCGCGCACGGGGTTACCTCGACTGCAGGGTTGCCTGTCCTCCATGGCGTGGATGTAGATGACGCGTGAGTTGGGGAAGGCGCTGTATCGATCGATGGCTTGAGACGAAGTTGGAACCCGACCGCTCACGATGGCGACAGCAGTGAAGACTGACTACGTGACTTATTTGAACGCTGCGCAGGTGAGAGAGGTGAGAGGCGGGACAGCGCGAGGACGGCGTTTTGGGACCCTTCGCAACGCGACGGCGGCCTCCTTTAAAGGAAGTCGCGAATCCGCGACACTCCGGGCAACGAAAAAGAAAGGGTCCGAGGTAGTTTCCGACCTGCCATGTTACCTACGACCCTACGAGTCAAACATACACACACAACCTACGAGTCAAAATCCCTAGGTGGAACGCGGGACCTACTGCCTGTCGTGGTAACAACCGGTTGTCTTCGGAGGTAAGCGTGAAGAGACGTCGGGGGCGCTACACTGGATAATGGCGGGCTTCGGCAGTTGTGGAGACGATTGTTGCGTTGAACGGAATTTGAGGCGACCATTGACTCGACAGTTGCGGCATCGACAGCTTGAACGGCGACCATGGAACTCGGCTTGAACGTGGTATTCGGCTTGACGTTGACGTTGACAGCGGCTCGACATTGGTGACGTTGAAGTGGCGACGAAGTGGCAAAAGATGTTAATTTTGCCTAATGGCGCGGTTTTTCACGCCTGGGGATCAATTCAAAGCGAGGGGGAGATTTTACCTCGCATCACAAGACCCCTGGGGCAAGTCAGATGTGAAAGAGGGGGCATCCCAAAAACTCAAAAAATAACACGGTCTCCCACCGTGGCCCCCAAAAACTCGACAGTTGGGAAGTAGACACTTGGGACGCACGCAAACTGTGGGCTAACCTAAAATAGGGTCAGCAACAAAAAACGGGGCGAGCTTAAGGCCCGCCAAAAACCACAAAATCAAAGAAAAAAGAAAAGGAAATTAAAGGGTATGAATAAAATAGCTAAACTAAATCAAACATACCCAAAAAGTCGGTAGTTGGGGCTAACGACAAGTGGGAAATACGCAAGTTGGGAACTTCTTCATCTTTCACCCAAAAACTCGATCGTTGGGGCCATCGTAACATTCGCACTCGAAAGTTGGGGGATCCTTATCCTTAGCCTAAACAAATAGCATTAATAAAGAAATGAAAGTTGGGGGGTGAGCGCGAAGCTTCACCAAAAGATCGAAAGTTGGGAGACGTAACTTGGGGCTAACGACAATGGGGTGAGGCATCTCTACCTCTCTTCTCTCCCTCTTCCATCGGCTCGTCCCACCTGACGCTCACCTAAAATGGGGCATGGGGCCCCATCCTGGGGGGCGGGCGACATGTGAGGCGGCGATGTAGCAGCCGATGTGGAGCTTACCTCTGGTTTTCGAAGAGAAGCGTGAGAGTGGGGATACAATGTACTGTGAACTGTAGCTTTCCCTGCGGGACCACTCAATCGGCGTAGTCGTGTGGAGCGCGTTAGCGGGCGCGTTTCGCGATTGGGGCGCGTATATTTGGGAGTGTGATGATGAGGCACGCTGCGCACACGCGTCGCGTGTGGATTGGGGCGCGTTTGTTCTCAGTGGGCCGAGATTTGCGATTTTAAGCGCTTAGCTTTGCGGGGAGGTTGTATCCTCGTGGGAGAATGGGAAGAATGTCTAGAAGACGTTCTTCTGGGTCTGGATATTGGGGTATAGTCGTCCTGGGCGCGAATCTCCAAGGGGTAAAGACGTGATAACGGTCTTCTGAGGAACTTACCGTTGGGTGTTCGTACTTCTGCGACTCGTACGTTGTTGGGTTCGCTCCCATGAAGTCGAACTACAATTCCTAACTTCCACTGTCCTCTCGGCAGATTGTCCTCCGCAATTAGCACGAGATCGTTGAGTTGGGGATGTGCGGCTGTGTGTCTGGGCTGTCTCAAACGACGTTGATGGCGTTGAACAAGTGCGGAAAGGTAGTCGGTGCGCCAAATCTCCCAAAAGGAGTCCAAAACGGTTTGCGCTTCCCTATACCAATCCGACAGTTTGTGTTCCTCGACAACAACGTCGTAATGCTGGGGTTTTGGGGGAAGTTGAAGCTCAACTTCTGGGGAGATGAAGTCCACTGGGCGTAGTACTCGAAACGGAGCTCCCTCTCGATATGGGGTTATAGGTCGAGAGTTGAGAATCGCTTCGATCTCTACGACCACTGTTCTCAACTGTTCCCATGTGAGTAAGGTCCTTCCTATCGTCTTCTTGAAGGCAGACTTAAAGAGAGCAACGAGTCTCTCATAAAAGCCTCCTTTCCACGGCGATATGGGGGTGATAAACTTCCACGTGATCCTATGTTTCGTTGCGAAACTGTGGATGGGGTTCCATGACTGAGGCGCAATGAACAAAGTCCTCATTGCGTCTTCTGCGGCATGGAATGTGGATGCGTTATCACTGTAGATGACGTCCGGTGTTCCACGTCGTCCCATAAATCGTCTGAAGGCTAATAGGAAGTCCTGCGTGGAGTTAGTGCTGACAAGTTCCAAGTGTACAGCTCTTGTGGCCATGCACGTAATAAGGCATACCCATGACTTCGCTTTCATGCCGTTCGCATCCCTGTAATGGATGGGACCCAGATAGTCCAGTCCTACGTTTTGGAACGGTCTCGTTCTTGCGACTCGTTCCTCGGGCAAGCTGGGCATGTCCGGATAACGATAGGCTGGGCCATTGGCTCTCTTACAAACGGTGCATGTGCGAAGAATGCGGTCTACGGTACGACGTGTGGAAGGCACAAAGAAGCGTTGTGACAGCTGGGCGATAGTCGCGTACGTTCCTTGATGGTACGATGCGAAGTGAATGTGAAGTGTGATGAGGAATGTGAGTCTGTGAAAGGGCACCAATAAAATGGGCGCTGTGGGGTGGACTTTTTCCATGCGGGCTGGGCATCTGATGAGCCCGTTTTCGTCTCTATGTGCGTTAAATCGCTCGAGGCGAAAACGTCTAACAGATGGGCAGACTCTCGATAATGTTCGCGAATAAGCAAAATCTCTGCTAAGGCAATGTCCTGGGCCGTGATGTTGCCGGCAGAGGAAATTTGGGAAAGAATGGGGATTGCCTTATAGAGATGATGTCTATGCGCGGACACTCTGTGGCTAAGAAAGTTGAGACATAGAAATCTGAGGACGTAAACGGTAATACGAAGAAGTTTCGTATAACTGTTCGTAACGTAAAATGGGATAACTGACACATGTGAGTCTTCTCTAACCAAACTTACCTGTACAAACTCCTTATCCTGCTCCGGTGTTGTCGTGGGCAGGGTTGTAAAGTCCATGTCTTTATCGGGCCAGTACTCAGGTAACCGAAGGATGAACGATGGTCCTGTCCACCAAACGTGATCCACTGCTTCCTTCGTCGTCAATCCTCGCGTCGCATGGTCCGCGGGATTGTCTTCCGAAGCAACGTAGTGAAACTTGACATCGGTACCCGAATCCTGAAGTTCCTTAACGATCTTGCGAATGAAACTTACCCTATTATGGACAAACTGCTTCAATGGCCTGGTGGAATGAATCCAGTGAAGCACGATTTGGAAGTCTGAAAAGATGTGAATTGTGGAGAGTGGAAGATCCAACTCTTTGTGGAGGTATTGGGCTAGAGCAAGACAATTCCTAGCTGCCATCAATTCCATTCTTGGAATGGTCATGGGCTTTGTGGGCTCGTTAAGGTGCGATCTTGACATAACGAGGTGTGAGGTGGTCGTATCGTAAGTGTGACTGACCAAATATGCGCATGCGGCATACACTCGTTTGGATGCATCTCCAAAGACGCACAAATCGAATGTACTTGTGGCGGATGTAGATCGTGTAATGACTCGTCTGGGGAAAGGTGGTAACGGATCCTGTACACCTTGACAGATGCGTTGCCACTCTTTTAGGGCTTCCTCATCCAATCTATCGTCCCACTTAAGCTTCTTCAACCACAAATCCTGTATGAATAACTTAAATGGAACCATAAAAGGAGTTAGAAGACCTAAAGGGTCATATGTGGAAGCATATGCTCTGAGGGC